CACACACACACACACACACACACACACACACACACACACACACACACAAAATCTAAAAAATGGTTTGCCTAGATTTTGTCACAACTCAAATTACAAAAAGCTTTCAGGTTCGTGAAACAGACCTGAAACATCAGCTCAAACTGAAGAACACTACTTTATTGAACATGAGAAAAATATCTGGCTGCAGTGGCAGAACCAACATTTAATTTATATCACACAACTTCCTATTTGTGCAGGTGGTTTAACATAGGCTACTTGTAGACACAGATTCCTCTTGTGACAGTTTTACTTATGTTTTGTGAAAAGATTATTAAAGCATGCAAAACACAACTAGCATAGTGAAAATAAGCAAAGCATGAAGCCCAGCTGTCATGCAATAAATATAATTTGTCCAAAAACAAAACAGTGTTATGCTTCAGCTTTAAACTATTTTACCTCCACTCTTTAACCTAAAGCACAGTTACCCCCCCACCACCCCACCCCCCCAGCTACAGCTCTTTGATTGTGCTGCAGAGGCATCTAGGATCTACTGGAGGGTTGGCACTTTGCATACAATGAGCTGTTTGCTTTTCTAAAATCCCATGACTGCTGACTGCTAGAGAGTGGGGTGATGTTTCTGCTGAAGAATAAAACCTACCCGGTACTTTGTTTCTGCTTCGTTGGTCAAAGGCTCTAAAAAAAGTTAGCTTTTCAAAATGTACAGGTATTACTTTGTATTTTTTCACATATCACTAAAACAAGAGTGGTGGGAGACCAAAGAAAAATTTCCTCAATGCAATTATGCAAACGAACTACAAATGTAGTCTAAAATGCACTAAATATACTTAAATAAACTTTGCAAATCTTTGAGTTATTGAGGACCTAAAAACTTAACTGTAATAGAAGTGGTACTGACCTGGACCACTCCTTTCTTGTGCATGATGATGATGTTGTTGGGATCCTTGGACAGCTGGTATAGAGTCATGACTGTGATCTGATGGACTGAACTGTCCTTGGACTTAAGATAAATTACCAAAGAGGCAACAGCTCCGACTTCACCAAAGGATGCCCTGTTGGTTCCCCATACGCAGCAGTGGCCGATGGCTTCAGCCAGGTACTGTCGAAGCCTGTCATCTGTCTATAGACAGCAGAACAATTTAATGGATCCCAAAGAAAAGTACAACATAAGAAGCTCTGCAAAAAGTCAGTGGCAGCAGCCTTGACATAAAGACGCTGATCATAATTGTTGTTATTGAACAGAAAACATGTTCTTACTGTGTTAGTCAGCTTGGCCAGCAGCGGGACAACCCCATGATCAGTCAGGACTGCCAGGTTATTCTTGTCTTTAGCTATTTTGGCAATGACAGAGCAAATGCTCGCCAGCACCTCGTTGTTTGTTGACTTCAGTAAATTAATAATCAGTTCCAATCCACCGATGAGGGAGCGCACTATTTCCCCTGCATCCTAAAGTCAAAGAGTCTCTTAGTTTGTGGTCCTCGGTAAAAATTAACACAAGAGAGGAGAGCACAGTAGTTAGGAAAAAGAAGAGGCAGATGTTTGATTTGACATTTGAGTATAGCACCTAAAGAAAAACACATGTTGAATGAACAAAGAAAGTATTCTAATCAGTCCAGAAAATGCACAACTACACTGGAGCAAAACCTGAGTTTTAAATCAGGGTATGTAAGCAATAGGTTTATATTTTTATAATTTTTATCACTGGCACACTATCTCAACTTCTTCTTTCTGCTGTTTCCTTTTCAAAGGTCCTCACAGTGTTATCTTTTTCCATCTAACTCACACACTAACTTGTGATAACTATAAAACAATTCAAAGACAAAAAGTGACATTGATCCCTTTTTCTCTACAGCACGTTTGGCACCATTATGGTTGACGGTTATAGTAGACTCTTGAGTCACTTGTGAGGTGATGTCTAAGTAACTGAGTGAACCTCAAGAAAAAATCAGGCAGAGACATGGACTTCAGCATAGCTTCAGGCCTCTGTTTGAAATCTTGTCACAGCCACAGAGGGATGGACCAACATGGTGCAGCCTGCAATAATTACAACTTTGAAAACAGAGCTGAAATTTTAACAAGACAAACTGTTATGATGTTACCGTAGAGACAACTTTCATTTGAGTCCAACTTCAGTCTTCATGTTTGCTGCAAAACATCAGACTACTAAAAATAAAGGAATTACGGTGTACCCTGATGCATGCTCAATAAACCAGGTAGAAAAATCTAAAAAAGTCCAATCTGGTCCTCTGGACATTCAAAAAAACAAAACAAAGCAAAACAAAAATTTGTTTTGTTTTTTTGAATGTCCAGAGGACCAGATTTAACATTTTTTAGAATTACGGTGTAAATTGCATATTTAAAAAAGAAAATAAACCAGCAAATTTAATCAAATTCAGCACAAAGCACACAGCTGAGATCAAGTCACTGTGCAGTGTTTGGACCAGAGAACGAGACGTGCACAGTGCCAGAAGGTGGGGGGACACAGGCCGAACCCCGTTACACAGGAAGCTCTTCCTCAAGAATACTGATGCTGGTTGGCTGGGAGAACCTGCAACACAGGAAGCTCTCTGAAGACACCAGCTGCAACAGACTAACCAGAACTTCTTTCATGGCCTGGCCGGGCCTCTGGTTGCTCAAGCTGCAGCATTATGAGACTGCACATGAAAAGACCTTTTCTGCTTCCCCTCTCTCCTCGCACTCAGAGTGAAATAGAAAACATACTATCTGCTGTGAGTGATACAAAACTGGAGGACAAAGCAGAGCTCAGATTAACTGGAAGGGCCCCCAACACTTTCCTTGCAGCAACCAGACTTCTATAACTTATTCAGCTACAGTGAAAAAATCAAACATCTAAATGTTCCTCTGCAAAAATAATCAAACCTCATCTTATTACCAGTGACTGGGAGTGTTTTTTGTTTTCTTGATGGTAGAACAAAGATAACTGAATATTTTAATACTAAATGTTTTGTAAGGATGGTATCCCTCTGTCAGTCTCACTGTGTCTGTACTCCCTAGTGTCTCTCAGTAATTACCCCAATCAGCTCCACCCGCATGTCCTCCAGGTGTTTGTATTTTGTCTCATCTAGTCTGTGTGTATATAAGCTCTGGTCTGTGTCTCAGTCATTGTCGGTGCATCGTCTGGTACAGCCCCATGTTTGTCTCCTGTGTTCTGTGTATTATTCTGTCCAGATCCTGTCTGTGAGTTTTGCTGCCACGTCAGCTATTTATTTTGATTATTAAAGTGATTATTATTTTAAGTCCTGGCCTCTGCGTCCTGTCTGCACATGGGTTTGTTCTTGTTCAGCTCAGCCTGAAAATCCTGACAGTATGCACAGACCAAAATCAAAACCCAGCAGACAGAATTCCTCGACCTCGCTTACCTGTTCTCTTGAGCCCACGCAGATGGAAGAGATCGTGTTCCGGTGTGGCGGGTTCCAGATCCAACCCGTGCCGGCACAAAGAAGTTACTGCCAGGAGGTGGAAATCCTGCCTTCTGCCCTCCTGGTCCTCGAAAAAGAGAGAAGGTCCCGGCTACGGGGAGACCGCGTGAACCACAATTACAGCTCCTCCTCATCCTCAGCTCCGTTCGGCTATCCGGGGTGGATGTCAGGAGAAGACGCAGAGCCGGAGGACAAGCTCTGCTCCATTCTTGCCCCTCAGCCTTCTCGCCGCCGCCTGAGCGGCAGAAACCGAACCTGGAAGCGGTCCAAGGCGCTCGTTCCGGCTCCTTCCACGTTTCCAACCGAGCCGAGCTTCCAGAAGACATTCCTGGTGCGGCAGTGGAGACGGATTCTGTTGCCTCACCTCCCAGGATTCCGGTGAGGGCAGAGTCCGACGCTTCTCCGTCGCTCCGGTCCGCTCCTGCTCGGTCCAGCGAGACTGAGCTAACGGAAACCAGTCCCGATGCCTCCGCGAGGGCAGGTCCCGTCGCCTCACCTCCCAGGACTCCGGTGAGGGTGGAACCCGACACCCCACCATCGCTCCAAGCTGCTCCTTCTCAGTCCAGCGAGACTGAGCTTCCTGAACCTGGTCTCGGTATCTCCATGGGGGAGGGTCCCGTCGCCTCACCTCCGAGGTTTCCGGTGAGGGTGGATCTTGACCCCTCGCCTCTGAATAGAGCTCCTCATAAAACTAGCCCCAAGACTTCTCAGCTCCAACCCCACGAATTATCCCAAATAAACCACACTCTGCAAAGCCTCCTTTGTTCTGCTAAAAATAACCCGGACTGTCTAGATACTGTGCTCACCCTTGCCGAAAAGTTTCTATTTTCCCAACCCGGTTTAATCTAGCGTCCTGAATATCAGCAGCTTCTTACTGGACTCAGAACTTTGAAAATAGAACATGATTCTGTCTCAGTACCAGTTCCGTTTCCAGGTTCAGATCCGGAACCTCCTGTCGCTGGCTCTGCCCAAGAGTCAGACACATCAGCTGCAGAACAAGTCCCTGGCTCCCTGGTTGCAGAGTCAATATCCGAGGGAGGCACTGAATCCAAGGAGGTGCCCCGGCCCAATCCTGGACCACACCATCGCCACCACGGCAAGGGTCAACAGCAAAGAGGTTCCAGGTACTCAGCCCCTGCTCCATCACCTGACTCAGCACCAGCATCAGAAGACCCTGCCTTTGTAGATCCACCGTCCACGCTGCATGCAGCCCCCGAGGTGGGTCCCACGCTGCACGCAGCCCCTGAGGTGGGTCCCACGCTGCACACAGCCCCTGAGGTGGGTCCCACCGTCCACGCAGCTCCCGAGGTGGGTCCCACGCTGCACGCAGCCCCCGAGGTGGACCCCACGCTGCACGCATCCCCCGAGGTGGGTCCCACACTGCACGCAGCCCCCGAGGTGGATCCCACGTTGAACACAGCCCCCAAGGTGGATCCCACGCTGCACGCAGCCCCCGAGGTTGACCCATCTGCTGAGCTCCATGCTGCTGCTCCGCCCGCTAAGGTTCTCGCTCCTGCTTCGCCCGCTGAGGTCTTTGCTGAGGTTCTTGCTCCGCCCACTGAGGTTCTCGCTCCTGCTTTGCCGGCTGAGGTCCTCGCTGAGGTCCTCGCTCCTGCTTCGCCCGCTGAGGTCCGCGCTCCTGCTTCGCCCGCTGAGGTCCGCGCTCCTGCTCCGCTCGCTGAGGTCCTCGCTCCTGCTTCCCCCGCTGAGGTCCTCGCTCCTGCTTCGCCCACTGAGGTCCTCGCTGAGGTCCTCGCTGAGGTCCTCGCTGAGGTCCTCGCTCCTGCTCCACCCACTGAGGTCCTCGCTGAGGTCCTCACTCCTGCTCCGCCCGATGAGGTCCTCGCTGAGGTCCTCGCTCCTGCTCTGCTCGCTGAGGTCCTTGCTCCTGCTCCGCTCGCTGAGGTCTTTGCTGAGGTCCTCGCTGCTGCTCCGTCCACTGAGGTCCTCGCTCCGTCCGCTGAGGTCTTCACTCCTTCCGAAGACTCAGCCGCCGAAGACTCAGCCACCACTTCAGAGGTCTCAACGTCCACCGAGGGCCCCAGGTCCGCCAACGTCGCTACGTCCACCGAGGGTCCAGGTCCGCCGACATCGTTACGTCCACCGAGGGTCCCAGGTCCGCTGACGTCGCTACGGCCACCGAGGGTCCCAGGTCTGCCGGGGTCGCTACGTCCACCGAGGGTCCCAGGTCCGCCGACGTCGCTACGTCCACCGAGGGTCCCAGGTCCACCGACGTCACTACGTCCAGCGAGGGTCCTACGTCCACATAGGGTCCCACGTCCGCCAATGTCGCTACGTCCACCGAGGGTCCCACGTCCGCTGACGTCGCTACATCCACCGAGGGTCCCACGTCTCCAGAGGGTCCTACATCAGCTGCGCCTCCAGAGGGTCCTGCGCCAGCTGCGCCTCCAGAGGGTGCTGCGCCTCCAGAGGGTCCTGCGCCAGCTGCACCTCCAGAGGGTCCTACGCCAGCTGCACCTCCAGAGGGTCCTGCGCCGTCCTAAGGTCCGTGTTCAACGGCTTCTGGTCCTGCCACGGAAGATCCCAGCTCCACAACAGCTTCTGGTCCTGCCACGGAAGATCCCAGCTCCATAACAGCTTCTGGTCCTGCCAGAGAAGATCCCAGCTCCATAACAGCTTCTGATCCTGCCGCAGAAGATCTGAGCCCTCATGTCCCATCGCCTTGTCAGGTCCCTCGCCACGGGTCCACACCTCGCCTCGTTCAGGTCCCTCGCCTCGGGTCCACGCTTCGCCTCGTCCAAGTCCCTCGCCTTGGTCCCACGCCTCGCCTCGTCTAGGTCCCTCGCCTTGGTCCCACACCTCGCCTTGGTCCCACACCTCGCCTTGGTCCCACGCCTCACCCTGGCCTCACGCCTCACCTTGGCCTCATGCCTCACCTTGGCCTCACGTCTCGCCTTGGTCCCACTCCTCGCCTTGGTCTCACGCTTTGCCTTGGTCTCTCGCTTCGCTTTGGTCCCTCACCTCGCCTTGGTCTCTCGCCTTGTCCAGGCTCCTCACCTGACCTGCCCTAGGGTTTTTGGACTAGGTCTGCCTTGGAACAATCTGTTGACCACTTGGATTTGTTTTTGTTTGTTCCCTGTGTGTGTGGTTTTTTTTTTTGTTGTTGTCCTGGCCCCACTCTAGTGTTTCCTTGTGCGCCCCATCCTTTCAGTTCCTCCCTCTGCCCACCCTAGTTTTTTTTTTTTTTTTTTTTTGGGGGGGGGGGGCTTTCTGGGGACGCCAGGGGGTGTCCTTGGGGGGAGGGTACTGTAAGGATGGTATCCCTCTGTCAGTCTCACTGTGTCTGTACTCCCTAGTGTCTCTCAGTAATTACCCCAATCAGCTCCACCCGCGTGTCCTCCAGGTGTTTGTATTTTGTCTCATCTAGTTTGTGTGTATATAAGCTCTGGTCTGTGTCTCAGTCATTGTCGGTGCATCGTCTGGTACAGCCCCTGGTTTGTCTCCTGTGTTCTGTGTATTATTTTGTCCAGATCCTGTCTGTGAGTTTTGCTGCCACGTCAGCTATTTATTTTGATTATTAAAGTGATTATTATTTTAAGTCCTGGCCTCTGCATCCTGTCTGCACATGGGTTTGTTCTTGTTCAGCTCAGCCTGAAAATCCTGACATGTTTAAGGCTTTTTATTGCATTAAATCAGTTCATATGAAAACCCTGTAGAAACCTGGATTAGTATTGCTATAGGTCTGGAGAAATGAACCAGTGGGTGCTTTTGTGACAGAGCACTTTAATAAATCCACATACGCAAACCAAATGGATTCTCTACCTAAATAAGTTCTACATCAAAGCAGCTATATCATGTTCTTCAACTTGATGGGCAATGAGCACACTTTAGCTCTTGTCATTGCCCTCATACGTGAAAGAGTCACCCAGAATTCTTTCAAATTTGGCCCACTGATTTCCAATAAAACAATGTCAATCTTTGTTAAAGTTGGACCTTTGCTCTCCATATAATTGTAATACAGAATTGTTGCTACACATCACATTGAACACTATGTTTAACCTTCATCAGACTCTTCTACTGTTAAGCTCTTTTAAGACCACTAATCTTAACAAAAAACACGGTAGCTGTTGGAAAAAATCTGCTGATATCTGAGTAAAATTTCAATTGAAGACGAGAAGGTGTATTGTTATATTATACTATAACTATACAGTAGTCCCTCGCTACTTCGCGATTCGTTTAATGTGGATTCGCTATATCGCGGTTTTTCAAAGTAAGATTGGACATGACACAATTGGCTGATCGATGGATGAGCCATGGGTTGTTTATTTAAATTTTAAATGATTTTGCACCATGTGTGCAGCCCACAAGTGCAGGGGAAGCTCTCTCCTGCAGCTGATCTCCTTCTCTGACACGCCCACATTTCTCCTGAGCAAAGCATAAGCTTTGTTAGGATTAACCCTTTGCTGTCCAGATAGACCTATTAACTTTTGTCTTCCAACTTAAAATTCAAACTATGTCACATAGTACAATCACCATAATCACAAAATATAAAAGTGTTAAAAAGTTATTTTTACTCATTTTAGAACTTCTATGTTCAGTTGTGTAATTGATCAAGAAGTACATTTCTGCTCCGTGCTGCAGAGCTGAAGCTGTGTGACATCCTGTGATGTCCTGCTGCACTTCTCTTCTCTACAATTTAAATTTAAATACTGTAACATTTTAAATAAACAATCCATGCTGCGTGGATTGTTTATTTAAAATGTTACATTATTTAAATTTAAATTGTTTATGTAAGGAGGGAGATTGGGAGTAACAGGAACGTGATTGCAGCCTGCCACATGTATGACAAAGTTTACTGAACTTGGCCTACTGTATCCCTACTTCACGGTTGTTTGCTTATCTCTGGTGGGCATGGTCCCAAACACCTGTGATAAATGAGGGACCACTGTACACCATTGTAGTAAGAATTATGTCTGCAACATGAGATTTTGTTGCAGATCCATTTTCACTATTTTCATTGGAGAAGTGAGTTCACAGATCCTGATCCTCTGTGCTTTGTGCAAGTAGCAACATTATGAGGGAAGATTTTCAGCTCAGAAATCAGATGCCATGCCAAAGGATATTACTCGGTCTTTCTCTCTACATGTTCCACAATTCTCTGATCTGAGTGTGCCAAGGAGGCTGCTCTGCTTCATATTAGCTCAGGATTCATGTAATCCTCCAATGACAAAACTCTGCCCCTCCTGACCCCCCAGCAGAAGCAGGTCAGAGGGAGTGCATTGGAGGCAAGTATGGTGACATAATCAACCTTACTATAGACCCGTTCATTTTGAAATAACACAAACATAAAACCCTTAGATGTATGGGTTATCTGTGTGCAGTTGAAGTGGTGTACTTTATGTCTCCAGAGGTTAAAAAAGTGCAATTTACTATACCTTTGCATTCTCGATAAATGGACAAAGGGCCCAGGCAGCACTAGACTGCACATCTGTGTTGGGTTTTTTGAGCAGTGACCACACCAAGCGGACTCCATCAAGCTCCTCAATGATTCTGATGGGAGAATGAACAGGAAAGTGTTGAGATTAAGAAAACAGTTTTATTTCTCAGGAAGATAATGCCGCTTTTCCATTAGTAACTGTACAACACAATTTGACTTGACTCGGCACGGTTCCAAGACTTTTTCCACTAGTAACGGTTCGTAGAACCGGTCCCTTTTTTCAGTACCCTTTTCTCTGGGGTTCCAAGCGGGCCGAGGCGGCACCAAAACGTGACTTCAGAACACTGTCGGTCACTGATTGGTCATGGGTTGGAGTCACTGGCTGTTGGACAAACTTTTCACAATAAGTTCAATAAATCTCAGTCAGGTCATCTGGATAGTTTATATTTTTCAGAGAGACATTTTGCCGTCTATCCGGAGGGCTTCATCAGTCTGAGGAGTCCCAAGTAAACTGTTTCCCCACCAAGCAGTAAAGTCCTTAAGTGGACCAACCAGTTTGCTGGAGATAAGATGGTTTCTGGGGGCTGTCCTGTCCCCTGTCGACTCCTCCCAGGCAGGCAGCCACAGCCAAAGTGGTTTAAGGCAACAAAGTTCATACTCAATCATCCAGGTACCAAATCCAATCTCTATCAAAAAAAAAAAAAAAGAAACAGTCCAGATGACCGGACTGAGCATTATTGGATTTGGTACATGGATGATTGAGAATAAACTTTGTTTTCACAACAAGATCCACCATTTACAATAACTCAAACTCGAGGAGGGACTGGATCTATTTTTAAGATTTTTAAAGCCGTGACCATTATTAGACCACAACACCCACCGTGGTCTAATGATGAAGTGCAGGCATTTTTTTGTGCTTGGTGGTCGACGACAAAATTCAAAGCTAGCTAGATGGAGCTCCACCGGTCCTCTCCACCGGAGCCTCTGAGCCCCCTCCAAGCTCCGCCAGTCACCGTGGAAGATCTTCCGTGCTGACGACCCGGGGCTCGGGCCCCGGCCTTGCGTGCCCTGCAGGCGCTGAGTTTCGCTGGTCACCGTGAAGGATCATATGAGCTGCTTACCTGCAAAAAGCACGCAAGGCCAGGGTCTGGGCCCCGGCCTCGTGTGCTCATGAAGGCTGAAGACAAACCCCGGCAGACGGGTGGCCCGGGATGTATTTTTTTTTATTAGTGAAGATTTAAAAATAATAATAATTAAAGCTGCAAGCAGCGTTCAAGGCCCTCGCAGCGAAGCGCCGCTGTGGCCTTACGGCGACCGCGGAAACTCCAGGGACTCTTCCCGGTCGCCATCAAGAATGCTCATGCTACCGTCCTGCGCCCGTTCCCCGGAGTGTGCATTCGTCGAACCTTTGACATCAGCTACGACCGCGGATATAACTATTGTAATAATGTAGGGGGCGCACTTGAGTCAAAAGTAAAATACCAATACCATATGTGTATGAGTGCTCACCAATCACACACCAAAAATCTGGTCCAGATCAAACCAATTTTCACTGAGATATAACTGTTTGAATAATGTAAGGGGCACACTTGAGTCAAATATTAAATAACAACACCACTGTGTCCATAAGTGCTCACTAGTCAAGCACCAAAAATCTGGTGCAGATCGGACGATATATCACTGAGATATAACAGTTTGAATTATCTAGGGGGCGCACTTGAGTCAAAAGTAAAACAACAATACCATTGTGTGTTTAAGTGCTCACTAATCACACACCAAAAATCTGTTCCAGATCAAACAAATTTTCACTGAGCTATAACTGTTTGAATAATGTAGGGGGCGCACTTGAGTCAAATATTAAACAACAACACTACTGTGTCCAGAAGTGCTCACTAATCAAGCACCAAAAATCTGGTACAGATCGGATGATATATCATTGAGATATAACTGTTGGAATATTATAGAGTCAAAAGTTAAAAAACATTAATAATGTGTCCATAAGTGCTTATTAATGATGCACCAAAAATCTGGTGCAGATTAGATGATATATCACTGAAATATAACAGTTTGAATAATCTAGGGGGCGCACTTGAGTCAAATTTTAAACAACTATAACAATGTATCTAGACATGGTCACACATTATGCCACAAAAATCTGGTGCAGATCGGATGATGCATCATATAGACATAACTGATTAAATAATCTAGGGGGCGTTCTAGAGTCAAAATTTAACAAACAATACTAATGTGTCCATAAGTGCTTACTAATGTCATTCCAATAATCTGGTTCAGATCGGATGATAAATCATTGAGATATAACTGTTGGAATATTGTAGGGGGCGCTCTAGAGTCAAAAGTTAAAGAACATTACTAATGTGTCCATCAGGGCTACATAATAATACACCATAAATTTGGGGCAGATCAGCTGATATATCACTGAGTTATAAATTATTAAATAATCTAGGGGGCGCACTTGAGTCAAAGTTTAAGAAACAATAGTAATCTGTCCATAAGTGCTTACTAATGACGCACCCAAAATCTGATGCAGATCGGACGATATATCATTGAGATATAACTGATTAAATAATCTAGGGGGCGCACTTGAGTCAATATTTAAAAAAAACAATATCATTGAGATATAACTGTTGGAATAATGTAGGGGGCGCACTTGAGTCAAATATTAAACAACAAAACTAATATGTCCATCAGTTCTCAATAATGACGCACCAAAAATCTGGTTCAGATCGGATGTTGTATCACTGCGATATAACTGTAGGAAGAATGTAGGTGGCGCTGTGGAGGCTCTTGGCCACTTATCATGGAAACCTGTTCAAGGGTGGATAATGATCGATCATAGTGATTTTGGTTCACCTGGGCTCAAATCTGTGCAATTTAGAGCCAAACGCATTACAACGGTGTCACTTTTAAATTTGCCATGGCGCCACGCCCACATCCTCCAGCTATAACTATTTGTAGTTTAAATCATGTCAGACCAACTTGATATCTGCCTTCTAACACAGGATCATCCTGATTGGGTCAAGAGTGTCAGGGAGGGAGCATTCCAAGCAAAAAAAGTCACTTCCTGTTCTGAGGGGGCGGGGCTTTGATGACGTCAAAATTTAAACTCAGGGTATCGTCGGGCATGGGACAGGGATGACTCGTGCCAAATTTGGTACAATTATGTTTTTCAACGTGAAAGTTATAGCATTTGGAAATTTTTGGCGTGAAGCATAACTTTGAGGTCCGGCCCCGCCCCCTCAACATACTTCGGTTTGCACCGTTTGATAACTTTTCGTCCCCCATGCCTACTGAGCAAAATGGCGTAAGTTTGAAACCGATTGAGCGAAATCCCTAGGAGGAGTTCGTTCAAATTCGCCATGAACGAAAAGTGAAAACCGGCCAAAATTGACCCTTTGACCCAAAATGGCCGACTTCCTGTTGGGTTTAGGGCATACCTCCAAGAGACTTTTTTCATGTTTCAGTGGGTTGTACGTGTGTACCAAATTTCAGCTCTCTACGACTTACCAGTTGTCATATCTCACGTTAGGGGGCGCTGTGGAGCAGTTTGGCCACGCCCACTTTTGGTTTCATTAAAGTACAAAAATTTCACGCGGGGGACAAGTTTTGGTAAAGTTTGGTGAGTTTTGGGATATGTTAAGGCCTCCAAATTAACGTTTCTTTCGGCCCAAGAAGAAGAATAAACAGCACAATTACAATAGGCCTTCGCAGCGCTTAGCTGCTCGGGCCTAACACAATTACAATAGGCCTTCGCAGCGCTTAGCTGCTCGGGCCTAATAAACAGCACAATTACAATAGGCCTTTGCAGCGCTTAGCTGCTCGGGCCTAATAATGAACTGTGCCGGCTTTATAATGAAATCCTGTTTTCACTTTAATGACTTTATTAAATAATCTGTTAACGTTAACTCAGCTGAAAAATAATTAAAAAAAAAACAACATTATTGAATCTCAGGAATATTTCCATCAAATATGTTTAAAGAAGAGCTACAGCTTTTGGTTCAACTTTATTTTAACCTACAGATGTGCAAATCACAAAACAAGAATTAAACTTTAAAGCAAAGCTAAAAATAAATAAATATCTGTGAACATACCATACCATTTTATGCAAAGAGCACTTAAAACAGCAACAAGGCCAACCAAAGTGCTGTACAAACAGAAAAGAGGCAACACACAAAACAACATACAAAATGGAATAAAATCAGAATATAGACACAAAATCATTGCACATAATAAATATAACGACTAACCTGTGTGAAGCATACAGGTTCAAACACAGATCATCTAGTGTTGAAAGCAACAGAATAGTAGTTAAGTTTTTAAGTGGGATTTGAAAACCGAGAGGGAGGGGGCTTGTCTGACAAGCAGAGGTAACTCGTTCCAAAGTCTTGAGCCTGTGACAGAGAAGGCCCTGTCGCCTCTGCGCTTAAGATGAGTTCCTGGGACTGTGAGAAGCAACTGGTCCGCTGACCTCAGAGAAAGTGGTGGGACATACGGCTGTAGCAAATCAGAGAGATACTAAAGGGCAGAACTGTTCAGTTATTTTTAAGACATACTATATTTTGAACTGGATTCGAAGGTGAACCGGTAGCCAGTTTATCCGAATCTGCTCCGAAGGCCACCTTATCTGAATTTGCCTAGAGAACATGTAATCTGACGCTCCACCCCCCCCCCCCCCCCCAATCAGGCTGCCGCATTCTGGACCAGTTGACGTCTAAGAATGGAGGTCTGACTGATACCAAACAGGAGTAAATTGCAGTAATTGAGCCTAGACGTTATGAATGCGTGTATTACTGTCTCCAGGTTATTTTTGGACAGTAAGTGTTAGGATTTGTGTCAGGAGCGAACCCAGAGTGCAGAACAGGGACTCAACTCGGCAGAAATACAAAAATAGGATTTTAATGAGAAATAAAAGTACAAAATAAACAAGCTGACGGGGCAGCAAAACTTACATGGACATAGGAAGGAGGCACGGGGAACTCAGGAGACACGAGAGACACGGGGAACTTGAGGAACCAGGAAGACTCAGGGAAAGACTCAGAGACTCAACGAAGAGTACCCAGCGAAGACGACCCGACGAAGAACAAGACAGAAAGGA